TGAACACAGTCTGTGCTGAGCACTAATCTAAGTACTTTACCTGTATTTACTTATTTAATCTTGAAAACAATGCAATGGGGTAGTGCAATTATTAGCCTCATTTTACATATAAGGAAACTGAGGCACAGAAGGGTTACGTTTGCCCAAGTTTACACAGTAGAAACTAGCTTCAGATGGGGTGTGTGGCCCCAGAGCCTGTGCCTTTCAGTCACTACACTATACTTGTCATGATTGGTTCTTTCTCACCCTTCAGGCTTTGTGTAAAACAGTGTCTCCTCCGAAGACTTCCCAGACCACTGTTTCTGAAGTAGTCCCCAGCCACACGCCACCGCCATGCTGTTTATTCGCCACTTGCCCTGCCCCACACCACTGCCCCACATCTAGTCTCTGACAAATAACAAACGTGTACCGACATTCATTTAACCCGTTAGTGAGAGACATAGCAGAAAGACAAAAGAGATTGTTCCAACATCGCTGAGGAATAGAAATTTATAGTCAGCCAGGAAAGGAATACCAAAATGAGATCATTGAGTTAGACAAAAGCCTGGTGAACTTTTTACAGTCCAAAAAGCCAAATCAACTTTGGTTCAACTTTGCTAACTAGATTGCAAAATTACAACATCTTATCAATGCCTGCAGGTTGACCTCCAACTATATGGGGCTCTAAACTCTGCGCCTTTGTCTACTGTAAGTTGCTAGTCAAATATGCAGCAGTACTCCCCAAGAATGTCACATTAGGATCAGGCAGGCTTACGAGAAAAGGCTCTGGCATAACATCAAAAAATCAAGAAATTGTCCTTTTGCCTTTTTCCAAATCGGAGTTTTTTTTTTTAAAAAAAAAAATACGAGAGCTATATCTGCACTTATAGAGAGGATTGCTTATTACCTTGTCATCCCGAACCTGGAGCTTGCTGTGGTGTCCAGTGAGAATTGGGCTGTCTCCATTTAGTGTAGAGGGGGAGGATGGGGGAGGATTTTTTTGATAGGCATGAGCATTTTAGAAAGTTTATCTTGGGGAATAAGGTATATGGAGTTCTAGGCAATCTAAATGGACTAGTGTAGTGGGCACTTGTGGTTTTGAGCAACCAAGCTCAAATTGCTCCCTTCTCTTTGTGACAGAATCCCAGTTTCTTCTGTCTGGAATGTTCTTTGCCCAAGTAGTCACTTGTCTTGCTCTCTCAGCTTCTTTGCATATTTACGCTGTCACCTCCTCAGTGAGGGTTTCTGTAACTATTCTATTTAAAATGTCAAACCTCCACCAGCACTTCCCGTTACTCCTCCCTGCTTTTTCCCCATAGTGCTTATTGTCACCTGGATTGGTTTGAGTGTTGGTTTCCTAGGGCTGCTGTAACCGATTACAACAAACTTGATGGCTTAAAACCACAAATTTATGTATTTTCTTACAATTCTGGAGGTTAGAAGTCCAAAATCAAGGTGTCAGCAGGGCTGTACTTCCTTCGAAAGCTCTAGGGAAGAATCTTTCAATGCCTCTTCCAGTTTCTGGTGGCTCCAAGCATTCCTCAGCTTGTGGAAGCATAACTTCAATCTCTACCTTGATCTTCACACAGCCTTCTTCTCTGTCTTCTCCCCTTCTCTCTCTTGTAAGGAACTTGTCACTGGATTTAGGGCCCACCCAGGAAACCCAGGATGGTCTCATTTAGAGCTCCTTAGCTTAATTACATTTCAAAGACACTTTTTCCAAATAAGTTCACAATCACAAGTTCCAAGTTGAGTAGGCAGACACATCTTTTTGGGAGCCACCATTCAACCTGCCAAATTATGAATGTATATGTGTACAGATATATTGTCTGCTATCTTTTCCTATCTATGAGGGTGACAAGTTTTTGTGTTTTGTTTTATTGTATCCCTACTACTTAAAATAGTGCCTAATACATAGTAGGTACTCAATAAATATTAGTTGAATGATTTAATTAATATGGTCACTTAAAAATATACTGCATGTGGGCCAGCCTGGTGGCATAGTGGTTAAGTTCATTCACTCTGCTTCAGCGGCCCAGGGTTCACAGGTTGGGATCCTGGGTGTGGACCTACACACTGCTCATCAAGCCATGCTGTGGTGGCATCCCATATACAAAACAGAGGAAGGTAGGCACAGATGTTAGCTCAGGGCCAATCTTCCTCACCAAAAAAAAAAAAAAGTATATATATATATATATATATATATATATATACACATATATATATATACTGCATGTGTAATCAACATATTTTTATTTGCTTTCATGAACTTTCTTACGGATTTAGTTGGTGATAACTAAATTGTGAGTGTCTATGGGTAAACTGCCAAAACTGACTCCTATAGTCTATATCCCGGTTACCTAACCCCAAGCACGCTGGCTTAAAACTTCCAATTTGTTTTCTGCGTCTCACCTTACAAATAGCTCTCTTCTATGTGCATTTATCCATCATACTGCTGTAAATCATCTTGTCTCCGTTGAGGTTGATTCCTACATTGGTCTGATCTGTACCCTCTGCTTTGCTTAGCCCATGCACTTAGATGTTCCTCTCACAAAGAGGTCAAGGCTACTTTATTGATTCCCACCTGCTCTCTGAAACACAATTTAATAGAATTTATGAAGAAATCCTACTTTCACACTCTCCCTCACCCAGACACTTATGAAAAATAATGGGAATTATTTTTCATGGGAAGGAATGGGAAGGAAACAGCCCATCTAGATGATGTAGAGCTCATTCAGGGTGGGATGATTTCAGACAAGTCTAGAGAGCACAGCCTTCCCAGCGAGTTTCTCCCCCCTTAAACCCTAACCAAGTTTCAGTTTGCTTGGATCTTACATGGGCCAGATCTTTAACAATCAAGAACTTTTGCATCATGTCAGTTGATCTTCATAACAATCGTGTAAGGGAAGCAGAACAAGCATTATCAGTCTTATTTTACATATGAAGAATTGGTGTTTCAGAGAGTTTATTTATTTATTTTTTTTTTTATTGCAGTAACATTGGTTTATAACATTGCAAAAATTTCAGGTGTACATCATTGTACTTCTATTTCTGCATGGACTACATCATGTTCACCACCAAAATACTAATTACAACCCATCACCACACACATGTACCGAATTATCCCTTTCACCCTCCCCCCTCCCCCCTTCCCCTCTGGTAACCACCAATCCAATCTCTGTTCAGAGAGTTTAGATGATTTGTCCCAGGTCACATGATAAAAATATATCTGAGGCTAAAACTCAGGTTGTCAGCAGCCAGTAGATTGTTTTTAGCTCTCATTTGCTAATTCTTGCTGAAGATGCCTTTGCCTGTTTTTCAATGCATATATTTCATAGCCCTGTATGACTGTGCCATTACATTTTGATTCATCTGAATGATCTCAGAAAATAATCACTTTTCCTTATATGTTTGGGTTTTAAATGGAAATATATTCATAACCACTTCTTTCTTGAATCAAGGGACCAAAATACATTTCAGGAGCAAACATTCGATCATTTCCATTATGAGAATCATTTCCTTTTGTATGTTTATGCTCTAAAGTGAGGTAAACTTGCATTTTATCTTTGTTTGTTTTCTTTCCTAAGGAATATACTTAACATTTGTCCATTTGTATTTTATTAACAGTTCTCCAGGTGCAGTAATTGATGATTCCAACCATATCCTTACACACTTAGTTTCCATACTTAGTTTGCTGAAGAATCGTGTTTTCTCTCTAGGGAGATCCCACGAGCTAAGAAAGAACCCAGGGCTCAGAGTCAGGAGACCTGGGCTTTTGACCCACGCTCTCCACTGTCTGTGATTGTACAGTATTTACTTTCTTAAGCTTCTGTTCTGGAAGTTTGTAAAATATAGCAAAGAATCCCATCTAATGCCTCAATCTTCAAAAGACAGACAAAACATTCTTGAAAGTGATATTTGTTCTAGGGTGAAAGATGTGGCAAATGCTAAAAGCCATCCTATTTTTAAACTGTTCTAATGGAAGATTTAAATTCCTGCTGACATTGGCATGTTATATTGAATACAGCTTAAAGTATAGTTCCCTTTGCCATTGGCAAAACTATGAAATGAGAGTGGGCATATCTATGTACCCTTCTTTGGGTGTGTGGGCGCATTTGATCAAAAAGAACTAGTGTACACAGGTAGAGTGTCAGTAAAGTAGGAGAGTTGAGAGTCACTGTGGCATAGAACGAAAATCTGTCAAATCCTAAAACTGAGCTAGTTACTCATATATGAGACACATGATGAAACAGCAAAGGCCAGGGGAAGTAAAAGAAAAATGATGAGGAATGAGACAGCATTGAGATCAGAAGAAAAGAAGACTGATGAGGGCAAATTACATTCAGCAATTGATATATTTGATGATATTTATTTATTAATCATGTATTATGTGCTCATCCACTAGAGGATACAAACATATTGTGATATCTAGAAGGGAAATATGAAATTCAGTACAAGGCAACTGTATAAATTATATCATAAGACAAAATATAATTATATAAGGTATGGTTCATGTACAGATAACAGAAAGTACTCTACCTATTTGAAGTAGAAATGTACTTAATACAGGGAACCGGGCGCTTACCAAAAGTGTTGGAAGGACTAGAGGAGCAGTCTCTAGTCTCTGCCATCCAGATTGACTCCCAATTCAACATCCAAATGGCAACCTCTGTCTCAGTGAGGAAGCTGGGAAGTCAGGAAGCCTTCACCAAATCTGTTGGCCCCAGAGCCCTTAATGTTTGCAGATCCCCACACAGCTAACTCATACGCTGTCATCTCTCTCCCCACTTAACTCAGTTAGGAATTTACTCACAGTCCTAGAAACCCCATTTGGGTCACAGCCAAAGAGAATTATCTATACAGGGAGTAAACCCTTAAAGCACAGACCACACACGCAGATGCAGACCTCACGACACAATCAAGAGCCTGTGGTTGATGTGGATGAGCTGATGTCATATTAACATGAGTAATATCCAGCTGAGGCATTAAAGGAGAAAGGACTGAGGATGGAAGGACAGGCATCAAATCAAATCGTTTCTTTCTAGTTATTTGCAATAGACTAGTCCGATCGGATGGCCTGGCAATAGGCCAGTTTTTTCAGAGCCTCTTTGACCTCTCGGTTCCTTAGGCAATAAATGAAAGGGTTGAGAGCAGGTGTGACAATGGCATAGAAGATGGAAATAACTTTGTTCATGTTGAAGGCATGGATAGCTCGGGGCCGGGCATACATGAAAATAGTGGCTGAATAGAAGATGGTGACCACTACGAGATGGGAAGCACAAGTAGAGAACGCTTTCTGCTTTCCTGTAGGCATGCGTAGAACAGTGGCCAGAATGCATCCATAGGACAGGACAGTGATAGAGAGCGGGAAGAGGAAGATGACCAGTGCCAGGACAAAGTCCGCCAACTCAGCTATGGACATGTCTGTGCAGGAGAGGTTAAGTACTGGAGAGATGTCACAGAAGAAGTGATTGATGATATTGGGGCCACAGAAACTGAGGCGGGAGATAAAACAGGTCTTAGCCAAGGAGATGCCAAAACCAATGGCCCAGGAACCAAGAGCCAGGCGGAAGCAGAGCCCATTGCTCATAATGGTGGGGTAGTGGAGTGGGCGGCAAATGGCAACATAACGGTCATAGGCCATAGCAGCCAGCAGCACACATTCTGTGCACATGAGTGCAATGAAGAAGTAAAGTTGTATCATACAGTGAATGAAGGAGATGCTGTTGCTCTCAGACCAAAAACTAAACAGCAATTTGGGTATAGTCACAGAGATATACCAGGTCTCCAAAAAGGACAGGTTGGCCAGGAAGAAGTACATAGGCTTATGCAGTGGCCGGTTCTGCTGCACCAACAGGATGATGATCACGTTCTCAGCCACTGTGAGAATATATACCACGAGGAACATCAGGTACATTGCTGCACGCATGCCCCAGTTCCCGGGGAATCCCACCAGAATGAACTTGGTGACCTGTGTCTGGTTCTCAACTTCCATATTGGAGACACAGGGCTTAGCTCTCCTGGGGGAAAAGAAATCACTGGTCAGACTCCATGGTCCAGTTAGAATCTTTGACCCTTTGCCTTCTCCGACTTGCAATAACAGTGACTGATATCATTTATTAATAATATATTATAGGCTAGACCGTACCCTAGGCACATAATATAATTTAATTCTCCTCTTTATATATGTTATATAACACATAGCCTCTTTATATATGTTATTATACTTATTTTAGTGATGAAGAAACTGAGTCTTGGAGAGGTATTAAGTAACTTACCAAGTTCCCACTGATAGCAGGACAGGAATCACATTCAAGTCTAAGTCTAAAGCCCATGTTCTATCTAATATCCTATGCTGCCTTCACAACCACCCCTGAATTAAACAGTATCAAATCTCCATGTTCTATGTGACCATTGCCAATTCTAAAGCGTATACTTGGCCCATCATCTACCCCGAGCTCTGGAAGTTCTTCCTTACAACTCATTTATCCTTCACATGCTATGTCTCTCTTTTCCTCTACCATCAGTGGAGATGGAGTGCAGCTGTCATGGTCTGTGAGGTACATGAGATGGTGAGATGGGGAGAGTTAGGCTTTTCAGTATTAAAGACCCGGACCTCCTGATTCAAGTACCGGGTCTGCCTCCAGTACACTATATGATCTTGAAACCTTATCGTCTCTGAAACCCAATCTTCTCTTCTGTAAATGTCAATATTAATATTTATTCAGTGTATGTCACTGTAGATCAAAACCCAAATGAAATAACGTAAGTGGAATTTTAATATGAACTGTAAGTAACAATAAGTGTGAAAGAGGATCTTACGCCATAGTAGGGCATTGAGAAGGTAGATACGGGCTGATGGAAGGGAGGAGAGGAACTGCTATGGGCCAAGCAGAGCAGTGAGCAAAACAAACATGGGCTTCACTCTCAGGGAGTTTTATGTCCTTGGGGTTGGGGGTGAGAGTCTCTGGGAGGAGATTTTTTTTTTAAATAAGCAAGCAAAAATAGAAACACAATAAAATTTGAGACATTTTCTATGATGGTTAAAAAACAGAAAACGATACTAGTTTGATCAGGGACGGTCCCTTTGACCTCTAAGGAGGTGACATTTAGGCAGAGAAGGATTCCAGGACCCCAGCCCTTTGAAGAGCTGGGGAGGGAGAGAGCTGCACTGAGATGAGGCTACCCTTGCTATGCTAGGATGGATGGGGAAGGGGGCAGAGCGATAGCTGGGAAAGGTAGGCAATAGTAGGGGATCTGAACAGTGGTCTACATAGAATGAGAAGCAAGTGAAGGGTGAAAGCTGAGAAGGGCACACATGATTTATGTCTGGAAAGATAACTCTGTCATTGCAGAGACTCTATGGAAGGAAGAGTGGGATCTAAAGGATTGGTTGGAGGTTATTCAGAGAAGGTCGCAGTAACCTTGAAGAGAAGTGGGTGGATTTAAGATACGCTTCAGAAGAACCTTTAACAGTAATGGATTGATTACTTATGACAGGTAAGGGAGGGAGAAAGCAAGGAGGATCTCAGATATATGGCTTATTACACAGAAGTGATGCCATTTACGAAGATGGGGAAAACTTGAGATGTTTACAGGCATTTTCCTCATAGTTGAGGAGATGAAATGGCAAGAATTTGGTGAGGTTATGTTTTGATTAGTTTTAACATGAAGCCTAAGCAATCAGTCCAGAATATTCTGTAATTATAATTTACAGAGCACTTACTAGATGCCAAGAAGTTTGCTAAGTACTTTTAACACAATATCCCACTGGAGCCACAGAACAATACAAATGAGATATTGTTATTCTAATTTCACAGAAGGCACTGTGGCTTAGGCAGATTAAGTAACATTACCAAGTTAGAGGGTGAGGAATCAGAATGACAGGGAAACCAGGTCTGTCTGACTGTGAAGGCATGCACTTCACCACGAGGCTGACTCACACGCAGAGGAGGAATACTAGATTGTGGACTCACCACCACATTTTTACATTTAAAATGTCTGACTGTGTTAGGAAATGTTCTCTACGGAATTCCACTGAAATTTCATTATATGCAAGGCAATTAGAGATGAGCCCAAAGTTAAAAACAAACAAAACAAACAAACATGACACAGATACATATTCAATCAAACACACAAAACAGAAATGAACATATAGAAATGCTTGGTAAATGTATCAGAGAAGAGATAATTATTGGACTGAGTCTTGGAATATAAAGAAGTGAGAGGACGAGGCATTTTAGGCAGATGAATCAGAGTGAGCAAAGGTGTAGAGATACGAAACAGCCTGGCACTTTCAGAGAAGCGACTCATGATGGCCTGATTGCTGTGTGAGTGGGCAAATTACAAGTGAATGATGAGCAGAAAACAGATGGAGAGAGTGCGCTAAAAAAATACCATCAAGGGCCCAATCATGGAGACCTTCATATGAAATATTAAGGTGTTTAATAATTAGCCTGTAGTATAGACAATAAGTAATAACTGAATGTATTTCGGTGGGTGATAACATCCTCATATTTAACCCTGGCTTTGATGCGGGGGGTTGAATTTGGATGGGTCAAGGTTACCAAACCAGAGACTGAGAGACTAGTTGGAAGACACCCTCATAGTAGACACTTAAAGACACACACGAAGAAGAGAAAAATCACCCCAGTTACACTGTTAAAGAAGCAAAGACAAACATATTTAGACTGTTCACAAGTTGCAGAAGTAACTTTGCACTCCTAGAGGAAGCTTGACAAAAAAAAAAGATTTCCCTATTCCTCATAACTAAATGAAGAGTGTATAGGCACTAATTACTGTATACAGACAGGAGGATTGTCAAAGTATTATTTTACCATAAAATTTGTAGACCTTTTCACTTGTAGTACTTTCTACTCCATTACAGCATACTCAAACTTATTACCCCTCATAGCAGATTTTTAACATTGATCAAGAATCAAACATCCTAGGTTCGCCTCTCAATTTTTATGCCTGCTGTGTATACACTTTCTCTTATTTTTGTCTGGATTCTGCACAAGCGTAGGTTCCAAGTAATTCAAATTTGATGAAAACATAACCTCCTTCCCTGCCAAGACAACAGCAGTTGTTGTAACCACCATCACAAGTCCATTGCTGGGAAGAAGCAGCAACCTGCAGCAGAAGGCATAGTGGGGATCTGCAGGTTGGCACCAGAATCTGGACACTTATTTCTGATCCAACACCAACAGATGCCCCTCAAAAGTAATAGGGGGAGTGTGTTCCCTCAGCTCACTGCACACCTGGCTGCACAGCCTTCAAAAGATGAGAATACTAACCTGACTGATTGCTGGGGATGGAGGGTGGGTACAAGGGAAAAGCATGACAATAGAATTAAATATTTAGGAGTTAAGCATTGCCGTGCCATAAGAGCCTGAAACACAGCTGCCTACATAGTTATAGTGATGGATGCTCTGAGAGGGGACACTTACCGTGGCTGAGCAGCCTCTGACGGGGTGAAATGAGAAAAGAAATTCTCCACTGATTCTAAAACAGGAAGAAGTAGAAAAGAAAGATTCAGGTATTGAATAGATGTAAGGAACCCACTCTCTAAACCTGGAAGGGGTGAATGGGCACAGATTACCCAACTGCTTCCAAACTGACAGCCAGGACTAGGGGAGAGGTGAGCCCTCGGCACTAGGACCACATTTGTGCCTGATGTGGCACCAGGCTGGTTCTCCAGAGCACCCATCGCCTTCCTGGTGGAAGCTACAGTGGTCTTAGTCACACCAAGCTGTGAAGATCTCTGGCTTCTGAGGGCTTTATATAGTATCAAGACTCCCTACATCTTTGCCGTGACCCAAGAGAAAAGAACCTTGATGATGGCAGTTTAGGTCTCTTGTGAGATCCATGAGAAATTTGTTTGCCTTGTGGTAATCTTATTTGTTTTATATAATATTAGTTCCACAGGGGGAAAAATCCACTTATGGCCACATGCTTTGAAAAGAACCACATTTGAATTTATTCCTTGTTGAGACGTGAAGAGAAATAAAATACGACTTTTAAATCTATTTACAGATTTGAATTATTATTCAATCTTCAGCTTACTTGAAACAGGACAATCACTTCAGTGCTCCAAGGAAGATACTAATACACAAAGTAGACTTTTATCGCTACACTTCAGTAAAATTTTAAATAAAAGTTTTTTTTTTTAAATGCTTATGCCATAATGGTGTGCTAAATAAATTTATCATGATGGGATTATCATTACTTTGGCTCCTGCTTTTGGGAACCATTTGACCAATATTTCACATTCTGGGACAAAACTCTAGTTTACTGTAAACATCACTTCTCTGTAACCTGCTGAATTCTTAAGCAGCCCTCACAGAAAGAAAAGCTGTCAAATTCACTGTGGTTTCATGAAATGGCAAATGGAGATATTGACGGTTACAAACAATTCAGTCTGCCATACGTGTTTAATTAAGCCTTTAATATAGTTTCTCTTATAAGACTGGGGTATGAAAAGCAAATTGCAGCAATTAAAAATAAGGCACTTCTTTTCAAATATCTGGCCTCCATTTAGCTCAAAATCCTGGAAAAACTCTGACTTCTAAAATGTATCATTTGATATCATCCATCATTTTCCAACATGAATTTTAAGTCTATCATGACGTGGTGGTCACTAATAGAAACAGTAATGACAGACATTCCATCAAACAATAGTTGTGCTAACCATGTTCCGGTCACCTGTTGTGGTGAGATGGGAATGCCCATCTATTGTGAGAGGGTTCCAGGAATTACTGTGACTGTGATCCTTCATACAAGACGTTTGGTGTCCAAATTTCATACAAATAATCCCAGATAAGTTGGAGATGTTCAGCAGATACAAACTGGCTATATTCTATGACATACTGACAAAATCTTATCCTAGAATTCAGCTATACAGGCTTTTCTTGGAGCTTTTTTTGTCCATACTTTCTGGCAATTTCAGGTTGCAGAATTCTGCAGATCCCTGTCCAGGATATATGGGAAGCAATAAGGAGACCCAGAGAACTCATTGTCTTGTTGTTTTTTAAAGTTGTTTTTCATTTTATTTTCTT